GTTAAAATTTGGGTCCGAGCGAACTTGGTTTTAAATATGTTGCAATTTGAAAAGCATTTTATTGTGTATTCACAAAGATACTCACTTTAATGAAAGTTATCAATCTAACTTAATAATCCCAAATTCCATTAAAATCTTCCGAAAAATCCCATCTTTGCGAATGTGCATCACTACCCTGTTTTATTGCCTTAAAACCAACAATGATTGAGTTTATTGATTGTCTTTGGCTTTTCTTTAAAATCGTTTGTTCATTTAAATCGGACTGATGGAGATGGTGGTCTGTCATTGACATTTCCACCTCATCCTCATTATTCTCTTTGCCTATCTGTCCGTGTCTATCGGCATCCTTGTTTTCTTAATGTAAAATGGAATGCCAAATAAGAAAATAAAATTGCGCATACATACATGTTTATGTCTTATTGACATTTATCACAGATTCCGATTTGTTTTCCTTTGAATAACTGTAATCTATTTTACTTGGCGTTTCTTTGGCAAAGGCCTAAAATAACTTGAAGTTTCCCCAAAAGCACTTGAAACAATTTTTTCAATTTTATTTTAAATTCTTGTAAAAAAACTGCAGAAGATTTTGAAACGTTTTTATTTCGCGAACATTTATTGTGAACTGATATTGTATGAAATTAAAAATTTAATAACAGTGCTAATTGAACGCATTTCGTGTTTGCCATGTGATTTTCCACAATATAATAATAATGATAATTACTGAACATTTGTAGTGATCGCATCTGACATACATAATTATAAATGTAAACACGTTAAAGTTGAACAGAACATGGAGACATTTTAATTTCGATGCTCTATTTGTGGGTGATATTTATATGAAGATAATGTTTTTTTTTTAATAAAATTTAAAGTACAGTGATTTTCTAGAAGTTGAAATATATACAAAAATTGTGTACGATATTGCTCAACATTTAGTTTACGTATTCATTCTTTCCTTCTTTTTTTTATCAAAAATGGAATTTCCTGGGATATTTCCTATAAATAATATTCAGTAATCAAGTAATTCCAATACTATTTTTTAAATATTTTTCCTTAAACGACAATTTAGTGATTGTGTTGACCCAGGTTATCCAAAGTTGCAGTTTGTCATGTGTATTCCCCAACTCAATCATCGAGATCTCTCCTACGACTGAACTCTCCTACGACAAGAAATGCAACTGGCGATAGCACCCTAGCCGACACTTCGTCGCCATCATCCTCTTAACTTGATGTTAGGATATAAAATAGCGTTGTTGCAGCATCTTCTATGTGATTCGACTTTTAATTAACCAACTTTTGATATTAAATTCCACTTTAGAATGTGGAAAAATATAAAGTCGAACTCTGTACTCGAATTTCGGCTTTGAGATCATCGCTTGATCATCAATTGATTATATTCATGGATATTATTAGTTTTGGGAAATCCAGAAGTAGATTCTATCATATAAACAAAATTCCCGTTTTTTAACACTAATCTAGTAGCCCTACGATTGTAGATTTTCTCGGTCCATCGAATTCATTAAATCAGGACAAAAATTGATTTTCGATTTTATAACCTACACCACATGGTGGTAAGGGTAATATATATTTTTGTGCATTTGTTTGTAACATGGAGAAGGCAGCGAGATAGACCCATAGTTACTTTTGAGGAACTTCATAGAATCACTTTCTGAGTCGATTAATCCTGGTCAGTCCGTCCGTCTGTCCATGTATTTTTATGAACAAAACCTATTCTGAACCTAAAATTTGGCATACGCATTTTCGAGTACTATCTGATGCCCGGTGCCAAATATCATTCTTGTGGAGCGCATATTAGGCATGTGAGGGACCGCGAATCGGCTGAAACATATATATGGGAGCTATAGCTATATCTAAACCGATTTATACCAAATTTGATGTACTTGCTGCTAAAATGCAAGTAATTTGATATTGACAGGTCGCATTTATTATCTGATTGAGATGAAATTTTGCAAACAATATTTGTTTAGCCCAAGGACGAACCCTACTGAAATTGGTGAACATCGGTTCAAATTTAGATATAGCTCCCATATATATATTCAACGGATTTCGGCTAATATCAGTCAATATCAAATTACTTGCATTTTAGCAGCAAGTACATCAAATTTGGTATAAATCGGTTTAGATATAGCTATAGCTCCCATATATATGTTTCAGCCGATTCGCGGTCCCTCACATGCCTAATATGCGCTCCACAAGAATGATATTTGGCACCGGGCATCAGATAGTACTCGAAAATGCGTATGCCAAATTTTAGGTTCAGAATAGGTTATAGCTCCCATATATATCTTTATCCGATATCAGATTTATTGTGCAAATGAACAATACTAGTCCAAATGGACTAATTTTTGGCACTTCCGCTCGAATTCAGTTTAGAAGCAAGTACATTAAATTTGGTGTGGATCGGTTCAGATATAGCTATAGCTCCCATATATATGTTTCATTCGATTTGGGGTTTAAAGTCCCTTCCACGTTTTCGTATATCCCCAAAATGTCGGTAGCTCCCGATATTCGGTATTTGGAGGGTTTTAATCATATGTGGGAGCTCCTGCGAGTTACTCCTGTGTTGCAAATTAGAGTATGTGTTGGAATGTTCGAAATATACAGTAATTTTCTACTGTAAAAATGAAGACGAGTGGAATAGAGTATAATCGAATGTTTTACCACCCACGAAAATTCTCACGCTCCTATTCGAGCTGAGAGTTAAACTCGCTCGCAATATGTAAAAAACTCTAGATCTCATTTACTCTTTATATTTTACAATTCTAATTCTTACTGGGCGAAAATTCGACCTAATATCGCTCTGCGGTCAAACCGCATAGCTCTACATAGGGGTAGAAGCCGATTTTAGAGTTTTTCTTCATTTTGAGCCAAAATGGCTATAATTTGATATTGTGGAGACTTAGTGTGCAGAAAGATTCAGCGCAAAATTTGTCAGTGTAGGTCGAGATTTTGGAACGGCTTCCAATTGTGGTTATTTTAAGAAAACAAATTTCGCAATAATTGAAATGAAATTTATGTTTCTAATGGAGGATTTTTTCGCAAAACTCCATGCGTCCGGCACTCCTAAAATATGAAATATTATTGCGTATTTCAAAGTAACAAATGACGATGTACTTTGTTTCGTATACCGTACCCCTTTTTTTATTGCTGTCATTATCATATCCAACCTCCGCTCCCTTCGTTGTCTACTATTATTCAATTCAATACTCTGCTCTTTATAGTTTACCCCTACAAAATACCAAGCGAACGAACCTCAAACAGCAGTCATATGGATTTGTCATTCATTGAATACTTCCAGTATTGCATCACAATCTATCCAGATGATTTGTTTATATTTTCTATTAGCATTGCTCTCAATACACAGCAGGAACCTGCTCTGGTGATGGCAAATAGCGATGATGATGATGCATTGCTAGATTCTGCAGCAACAGTGTCTATGGGAATAAAGCTCTTTTTATTCCGATTGCTTTATAAATTGTGGAGCTTTTCTGGAGAGCGCAGGTCTGATGAGAGGAATAAACAACCCCGAAACGCATATTACGTGTTGTGCTCCCCAGAAATTTATAGTAAAATCAATGGCTGGTGGGCCAAATGGCTATCAAAATTGATGGAAGGTTTTTTTTTCGTTTTTTTCCTCCTTTGCGAATGCCAGAGGAAAATGAAATGTCAAAAAGGGAACTATGAAATATGAGTGTGGGGATTGTTGTGTTTCTTCTCTTCTGGGGGTTGCTTTGCACCGCCAACGTGTCTCCAAAAAAGCCAAGTGGCTGTGGCGGCGGCACTCTTTTAATGCAGATCCCAGCTTTGCGCATTATTGTATATCCAAAGTGGAAATGGTTGGATGGTTACGAAGACGACGACGATGATGGCGACCGGGCTAAGGGGGTCAACACTATAGTCTTCCTTGTCTAACAATCGTTGAATTGAATCGCAATTACGAAAGGACTTGTGTAGATACAATTCGTACAATTTTCTAGTTGTCGATTGCAAATACAATTGAATCCGAGCCCCATGCTGGTGATTTCAGTTACTCGTCGAGGCATTAACGTGTGATACACAATCAGCACAATCGTGTTTTACGGCTTTTTTCAATATTTTTTTGTCGGGGGAGACACAACAATATTGCGTTGTGTAATTTTCAATTCCAAAAAAAAAATTGCAATTGTTTTAAATTGTAAAAAAAGAAAAGTGTCGGAATAATTTCCAGAATTATTTATGGAAGTGTGAAATAAATTTTTAAAAATATATTAAATTTTAGCAATCCCTAAGAAGCAAAGAAGTATATACCTACACAAATATATACTGTGTGTGTGTCTAGAATTTAGACATTGACAACAAACAAATAGGCCATACAACAAAATAAGTTAAAATCACATTGACATCTCAGTTTTTGAGAATTTTGAGGATATAAAAAATTAATTAGAAAACAACAAAAAAACAGCAAAAATGGTGGATACCGTCGAAGAATCAGCACAAAATGGTGTTTACAAGAAACGTCCCTTCATGTGTTCCTTATTAGATCCCAGTAAGTGTTTTTTTACATCCAGCATACAATATATTGAAATATACTCTCTTTTAACCTCTCTCTCTCGGTCTCTTGACTGCTACCTTACTCAAGCTAATACTTATTTCCTACCTTATCCCCCTCAAAATATACTTCCTGTAATTTGAGTCATTCCTGTTTTTTGCCTCCTATTTTTCTTTTTGGGTGTTAGCAGCCGCCAGCCTTTTCATGTAAAAATTTTGTTGTAATTTTATGTGGGTGTATGTGTGTTTGCGGTAGTAGTCCTTCGATATCATTAAATTTATTGTAATTTTTTTGTAACACTTTCTTTTTTCTTTGCTTTTATTTTATTTAATTTTTTGTGTTCTCTGTGTTTGTCGCTTGTTGCCTAAAATCTTTTGTTCCGTTTCTGTGCGCTTTCTACATTTCTGCGTTTCTTTTTTTAAAAAAATAATCAATATCTAACTAATTTCAGACGCTTGGTTTAAGCCGGAGCGCTTACATCCACGAGGTAAGTGTATTAATGTCTTATTGGTGTTGTTGTTATTGACGTCCATGTCTAATGTACACGCCTATATGTCTACATACATACACGAACATGCATAAAATATTAGCAGATGACTAAACTTTTAGCCAAGATTGAGGCAACTCAATTAAGGTTTGTCTGTCTGTCTGTCTGGTGGTGTTCTCAATACTGTCCACCGCCCTACCCACCAACCTATCTACCCCGCTTCACTCCTGCAACACTATCGAATTGTTTTTGCCATGCAATATCCTATTTTAGTTCAATGACCACTTAAGGTTTTCCTTTTTTCACGAATCGAAATAATTCGATAAGAAATTTAAGAATATCAAGGAAGGAAGGAGGTTTTCCTGGGCAGGAATTTCAATGGATGTCTGAGTTCCTTTGGTTTTTGGAGAAAAAATGAAAAACGATTTCTTTTAGGTCAGTGTTCGGTTCCACGAAATATTAATAATTGATCTTGATCTGGATAAGAATAATAAATAAATCCACGTCATAGTTTTAAAAAATACTCTACGTTATGTGGATAAATATATTATTCACGATATGTGCTTCGCTATATTATTCACGCTATGTGGATAAAAATATTATCCACGTTATGTGGATAAAAATATTACTCACGTTATGTGGATAAGAATATTATATCCACTTTTATGGATAAAAATATTATATCCACTTTTATGGATAAAAATATTATCCACGTTATGTGGATAAAAATATTATCCACGTTATGTGGATAAAATATTATCCTCGTTATATGGATAAATTTGTTATCCACATTATGTGGATAAACTGTTATCCACGTTATGTGGATAAACTTTTATCCACGTTATGTAGATAAAATATTATCCACGTCATGTGGATAAAATATTATCCACGTTATGTGGATAAAATATTATCCACGTTATGTGAATAAAAATATTATCCACGTTATGTGGATAAAAATATTATCCAAGTTATGTGGATAACATATTATCAACGTTATGTGGATAAAATATTATCCACGTTATGTGGATAAAATATTATCCACGTAATGTGGATGAAAATTGTTATTCACGTTATGTGGATAAAATATTATCAACGTTATGTGGATAGAAATATTTTTCACGTTATGTGTTAAAATATTATCCACGAGATATCATCCACGTTATATGATAATTACACCCCTTCGTGCAAGGACATTGTATAAAATTGCAACTATTTTGTTATAACTTGCAATTATTATCCTTCATTTTGCATTTTAAATGGATTTCTTCTCACACTGACATAGAAAACAGGTCGGCCAACCCCTTTATAATTCGTTTTATGACGACTATATGTGGGTGTAACACCCCTCTTTGCATATGAACGAACTATGATTTGTTTTATCATGCACATCCATACATTTCTTTTCGCAGAAATTTTTCTATGGATATTTTAAATATGTACATGCATTTATGCACCCACTTGCATACACATATATCCATACATATGTATGTATGTGAAATCAAAAACAAAAATCGATTGTTTTTACCCCCCCTCGTTAGTTAACAAATCTACTAAACCAACAGCCTGATTTACATGCAAAAAGAAAACAGAAAGGAAAAAATATACAGCAATTTAGAGAGCTTTTAAATTTGCACAAAAGAAAAAACTAATTAAATTTTTAAAACGTAATTAAGGTTTTCCATCATGACATGCAACCCAAAAACACCACACACTCTCTTCCCCTTATTCGTTGGCCGTGTCTCTATTACTTGCCCGGGAGGGGAGTCATGTGGAATTTGAACTTGTAAGGAGAGGAAAAAATGGCAGGTTTTCTTTAACATTCTCAAATTTCAATAGTTTTATTACTGGCTACCCGACTGGGTGTTGAGTTCGTTCATTTGGGTTGGCTTTCTTCTTTCGCTTGTGCTCTTTTATTTTTGCTTTTTTGCAGTTTACATTTTCGCTTGGCTAACAATGTGAACAACCTTTTTTTGGTTGTTTTTGTTGTCGATGGTATTATTTTCCAAAATGACGTCATTTTTTTTCCTGTCTTGGGATATTTAACATTATGCGGATGTTTTTTTCTATTTTTTGGGTTGTTGTTATCCATAAATTATGTTTGGCTATCTGGTTTTTTGGGGGGTTAATTTTATTGCTGTATTTCTGTCATTTCCTTTTGTGTGTGTGTGTTCTTCGTTGGCTAACTTCCAATATGACGTGTTCCTGTAAACAATTTTCACAGACATGGAATTAATTTATTTTGTCTGCCAACACCCAATGTTTAAGTTGCGCTCAGGTGAGATTAAATTTGTTGGTTTTGGGGTCTCTACGGACTTCGTAAATAAATTTATTAAAAAATATTGAATTAATTAAGGAATAGTATTAACGATTCTATATTTTCATTCATGGTTTACGAAAAGTTTTGGGCTCTAAATTGCTTTTCGTAACATGCATGTCGAATCAAATGTTGGTTCAAGGTAGCTTTACTAGAAAAAATAGCAGTGGGTTCGCCTGCTAGTGGGTTCGCCTGCTGACCTTGAAAAAAAAGTTTTCAAAAAAAATCTTAAAAAATAATAATTTTTTCTTTAGGAGTTCTGGTAAACATTTCCTTAAAAAATCCACTATTTTGTACCGAGGGGTGATTTTTTTAATCTATATTTTTTTTCCAATCTGTCCTTAAAAATGGGTTTTTAAAGAAATTTTTAGAAAAAAGATAGGTGGTGAGATAAAAAAGCTGCAACCAATTTAAAATCCATAATTTTTACATTTTTTTTAAATTTTATGAAAGCAAAATGTGTCGGAAATATCACCAAATTTTGAATAAGTTTAGATTTGTTCGAATTGGTCACCTCTGGCACGAATTATGGCCTTCAAACGGTCAATGAAACCGTCACACACTGCCCGTATGTTGCTCTGCGGTATTTTCTCCCATTCCTGGCAAAGCTTGCTTGAGGTAATCGATACTTTGGTATTTTTAGTGCCAACCTTGCTTTCTAAAATACTCCAGACACAATAGTCCAAGGGATTGGTATCCGGAGATTTTGGTGGCCATTGTGCGCTGAAAATGAAGCGAGGAAACTCATTTTGTAATCATTTTTGTCGGAATGTCCAAGGTCTGCGGCAAAAATGTTTTCGTGTCCAAGGCTTTAATACACACTCCAGAATATTTTCTCCATAATATTCGGCATTTATTCTGATGTCACGGTCGATTAATACGAGCGGAAAGCGACCATCGGCTGTTATGGCGGCCCACACCATCACCATGACCGGCGTTTGAGTTCTGGCGGCCAACCGAAGATGTACATTTCCTTCCGTCCCCTTGACGTCGGGCTACGCTACCAGTATCATGGTAACTAGCGATGGTACGAGACATAAAAGATCTACTCACATTTAAATGCTGGAGTGCTATAACGATAGCCACTTGTAGTTTTCCAGCCAAATATAAAGAAATCACACTATCACGCTTGAATTCCATCGCGAATAATAATGGGCTGTCACTGAAATAATTTTAACCGCTGTCGACGAGTGCCTTAGAAATGACAGCAGTCTGAAGTTGGTTGCAGTTTTTTCATCTCACCCTAATTTCGTCCCCTTTGTGCAATTTCCCATTGATTTTGAAATAATCAACATCCAAGGAAATTAAATCACCTTTTAAGACAGAGTATTTTTCAACTTTAAAAGTTTCTCTCACACATGTTAGAAGGTCAAGCCGCAAAAACGCCCTAACAACTAACTCCGACAGTTAGACTCATACGTGTATTTATGTAAATACATATATATGTATATATGTACTACATTACCTACCAATCTTACCTTGCGAATGGTAACGGTGGTCTTTGAACAATTAGCCAAAAGCCAAGAATTTGCTAATGAGATATGGTCGGTCGCTCTGTAATTACCAATGCGGAAAATTATAAAAGAAACTTGAAAACCAATTTGAGAAACCAAACATCTAAGCGAATGGGCTGGAGATACAGTTAGCAAAACTCACCGAAGACACCTACATTAAAATCATCACGAAATGAAGGAAAGCAAGAAAGACATGCAACTCGTCCGCCCAACCAGCGAGCCACACACAATAAAAATTAACCGGCCGGCACTCATTTTTTTTAACGAGCTATAAGATGGAATAAATGAATATTTATAAGAAATATATGAAACAAAAATAATGTGGAAAATTTTGATTGATTTATATGTGTCTAAATATGGCGATATACAACATACTTGAAATTGAGTCATGGTGTCGGGCGAGGAGTTTCGAATATGTCTGTTACCATGTGAAATGTTTCAATGGTTGGCTGGTGGCATATAATAATCACGTTTTGTGATTTGCTATTTGAATAGGATTTGAATACATTGTGGGAGTAAATGGCGATGGATTATTTTATTCATGCTTTGATGACATGGATAATTAATTTAATTAATTTTATTACACTTTCGAGTCTAAGAAATAACATGGATAAGTCTTTGTATAATTTTTTAAGTCAAAGATTATTAAACACAGTCTAACACCACAGCATGGTAGAAGATTAATAGAGAGAAGACACATTTTTCCCTATTCCATCAACTTTTGATCTAAATATGAAACCGTTGAAAGTTCCATCAACTTTTCATCTAAATACGAAACCGTTTGAAAATTCATGGAAATTACCAAACACAAAAGCATACATAAGATCTCAGTAAAGGAAATTTCTCCTATTCATAGAAGACCCTCTCAGTAAATATTAAGGGGGTCGTAAGGGGGTATCCAAAGAATGCTTTGAGAAGGCATTCCTATCAGTAGAATACCCTAAAATACCTATCCATAGATAACCTCTATGCATTGAATACATTAAGAAGGTCTCATATGCATAGAAAAATGTTTGAATGTGTCTTATCCAAAGAAGGACTTAAAAATGTATGCTTTGGATAAGACACTTATTAAAGGTCTTCTTTACTTCCCAAAGGCCACTGTACGTAAAAGATCTTTTTCTTAAGAGATACTAGAAGCCTCTAAGTTAGTTTTCATTTTTTCATCGCCTTTTTTATACCCTCCGCCATACATAGAATGGAGGGTATATTAAGATCGTCATTCCGTTTGCAACTCATCGAAATAATAATTTTAGATTTAACAAACTATATATATTTTTGA